TTTTTTGTACGAGCAATCGTCGAAGTTTGGATTGACATAGATTCCTATCACGTGATACTAATCCGTCTAAAGTGATTTATATCCGATTTGAATGATTTTAATCCTTTTGATACCGTATTTTCGGTGCAGAAATCCCGATCGATTCGGATATTTTTTTAAATAATCGGTTTTAATCGAACATTTTCGGCAGGGTTTAGTCCTCGACGACAAACACATAGACGCTCACTTCCTCAACGACGACCACAAGAGAGTTGTGAGAGAGACGAGAAAGTCGTAAGAGAAACGAAAAAGCCAGGATAGAGTCAAGATTGAAAAAAGGAACAAGATTGAAATTGTGCGAAGAAAAAGATGACGACGACGACGTATCTAAATGACATAAAATTGGGCAAAAAAATGCATACACGTTATGCGCTTATGCATCAAATGCACTTATGGACATCGTTATTACAGCATTGTGATTGGAAAAATATAGATTTTTTCACAAAATAGGCATTTACCGATAATATCCATATAATTAAAAGATATAATAATTTATTCCTACAGAAAAGTTATCCGTCCGGTAAAGGATACACTGTAGCGTCTCTGTAAGTACAAAAATGTTTCCTAACCGTAATGTAACGAAAAAATATACTTGGCGGGAGCCGCTACCGCGTTTCCTGATATATATAAATAGTGCCACATTAGGATGTAATTTATTCCAATATAAAAAATTGGGTAAATATTGTTACTTAACATTGGCTCAGTGCTACGAGTTTGGACCAATATTACAACTTCGACATTGGCTGAATAAAAGAAAGTGTCCATCTTGCAATGTTGGAAGTCAATTTACATCCCAATATATTTACATTATTTCCCAATATTGTGTCTATATATTATGCTACTAGGGAGCTGATTAATTAAAACAAATTATTGGATATGTTACATCGCGGCAACGTACAAGAGATGTATCATATTTTTTATAATTTTGCAACTAAAATAGTATGTTTCTTTTACATATAGTACAGGCAGGAATAAGATTTAAACGTCAAAAACGAGAAGATGGAAGAAATATTGATAGTTTAAGATAAGACATATGTATATAAATATTTGGGGATTTATTTTTAATCGTTAATGCAGCTTGAAAGTGTAATATGTAAGAGTTTATTAATTACTAATCTAATTGTTATATTTTCAGGTTTTGCCCATCTGTATTTTTATATCTTAGTAGCGTGGTACCTGCAATGGGATTAATACATCTAGATATAATAAACAGAAAACTGAAATTTTACAGATCAAACATTAATATATCCAAAAATTTTGAGTTTTTCAATTTGACAGTTAGTGATCATTTAAAACCTGTGGAAGAAGACAAATTGGTACGTAATATTTTAACATTTCATTTTATTATTTTTATAAAACTTGATAAAAAAATTAATATATTATTTTTATACAATGTATACAAGGTGTTTCCGAAAGGTAGTGACCTTACAAATACTCTTTAAAAAAAAAAGATTACGCTAAGTGTAAAAAAGTATCGTACGTTACATCTTTCCTAAACTAAAAATATCTATTATTTTAACAAATAAAAGTTGTCTAAAAACAAATATGAAATCATACAAGTTGCCAAGTATTTGATTAGACATAGAGACAAAAATATTTATACCATAACAAACATATTTTTTTAATAAATCGTTTAAACCATTCAAAAGTATATGCAGCAAAAGTTTAATGAATTGTTTTTCTAAATAATTTTAAGTTTCATAAAACAGACTTA